TTCATTTTCCCAAACATTACTTTTAATTCTGAACCTGGGTTCAAATTAGCTGTTGAACACAATATCCCAAATTTTCTGCTCGATTCTACAGTTCTAAATCTATTTTAAATGCTTCAAAAGTGCCTCTTCTCTTTAATTTGTTCCCATGGCTACCATTCAAAAGTTTCATTCATTTTCTGAGCGGAGAACTCTCCAAATCGTTACTGCAATCTACCAGTTGACTTTTCCTTCTTAATCTAGCAGAAGGCTCTAAACCCTCAGACTATAGGAATTGCAGCAGCCACGAAACAGGGTTACCTTGCAGCCCTTGGTGCTGGATGCTGAAATCCTGGAATTGTTCTGTGCCTCTGCTTGTTCTTGGAGTGCAGGAGGATGCTTGGCTGCCCAGTGCCACCCTCTGCCTTCCTCCTCGCTGTTTCACCTGGTGCCCGGGGTTCCCGCACACAGAATCCCTCAGGTGCAGGGCTCAGAAACGCCGGAGCAGGGAGCTGAAGGGGAGAGGGAGCCGCTGGTCCCCCCTCCTCAGGTGCCTGCAGCAGGACAAACAGGTTGGGTGAGGTGGGGCTGTCCCGTGTCACCTTTCAGCACGAGCCATCCAGGGCCAGGTGCCCTCGGCAAGCGTGCAGGGATGTAAAAGGTTAATCTTTATTTAACTGTGTGCAGAAAAAACCTCCCAAACCTCCCCACAGCGTCCCCGGTGTGCAGCCAGTGCTGGTGACTGGTGTAACTGGAAAAGGTGCTGCTTTGCTCTGGGATGCTGCAGGAGAGCTCTGAGATCCTGGAAACTGCCCAGTTATGGCACAGATCAGTGGGGATGCTGAGCTGAAAGGTGCTGGGCAGCACCGAGGGCTCAGCCTAAAGCTGGGGTGTAAAACCAAATAAACTATTCTAAATAAACTATTCTGAATAAATCCTCACAACAGTGAGGAGCCCCTGTTGCTCCCACCCTTCCTCCTGAAGGACCAGACCTGCCTGTCCCCAGCCTGCAGAGCACCTGGGGTGACTGGGAAAGGCAAGGAAGGACAGAGGGAGGCCCTTGGTGGTGACAGGCTGCAATCACAGATATCCGTGGGGTTTCTGGCTGTTCACACACCCTTCACAGAGGTTAGGAAAATCCTCTGTTGGGAACAGTTCCTCCATCCCTGCTGAGCTGGGGAACATTAAGTAGGTGATAATAAGTGGTCCCTGAGTGGGAGGGCCTGCTCTCCTCTGGAAAGTGCTACTCCAGACAATTTATCATTCAAACAAAGAGGGGAAAAAGGGTTAAACGCTGCCCGGCTTCCCCAGCCAGTGGTGGCTTTGGTTATCTGCAGCATGGCTGCAGGGCTACATGGTGCCTGTACATGTTTGGGGATCAGGAGTTAAGTGTTTAAATGATAAGTGATATCTTAAAAACATAAGTTTAGCAATGAATCTTTACCGACAATACTATACTATTAGTTAATAGGCAGAATTAACTCACTGGCCTGGGGCCAAGCCCGTCACAGCCACAGCCAGAACAGCTGAAGCTGCTTTTCACTTGGGTTTTGCTTTTACCGGATTTTCTGCTGCAAGGAGACTCCAATTTCTGTAAAAATATGCTCGTGTTTTCCTCCTCCCAACCTGCCCCTGTAAGCTTGAGGTTCCTTGGAGCCCAAGGGATTCAGCCAGGGCATGGAAAGCTTTCCTCTTGCATGCAGAGGTGTGACCAAGGGTGTTGATTCAGGACCAAGGGTGCTGATTCTCTGCAGGACATCATCTCTCAGTGGCCCCGGACCAGCTCCTGTCTGCTTTTGGTGGGACTTTAGGTGCCAGCATGGGACTCACTCTCCATCTCTCCCATCCCACATAAACCTCCCTCTCCCTCAGCTGGAGCACTGAGAATGACCAAGTAGCTTCCTTGGACCAAAGAAGCATCTCCTGAATCTTTCTGGTAGCTGAGGCTCCTTGGAATCACCAAAGATGACTGCACTGAGCCTTGAGACTGTGCCTGACAGCTCTGTGTCACCACCTGCTGCTTTCCTTTGTGCCTCCCTTGACTCCCAGCTGTCACCTGCTGCACCTCTTTAACCTCACAGAGGGTGAGAGGGAGCCACCTCCTCCAGGTGTGATGAGCCAAGGGTTTCGTATGCAAATGACCTTTTTCTTCCTGCATCAGGAACCGAAAATGCAGCATTAAATGTGTCAACATCAAACCTGTTTTAATGTCCCCCTAGATGTCATCTCTCCTGGCTCTGTCAGCCTGGGAACCATCTTTTGATGTAAACCAAAATGTGGGTGCAGCTGGAGGGGTGGTTGTCCCATTTTTGTGACCCCATCCAGGCTGTACCTGATGCTCTCTGCAGCAGGGCTTGAGTGTCCTGTGGCAGTGCTGCCCCAGGGTTACTTGTGGGCAGCAAGGACCAGCGAAACCAGTGTAACTTGGCTTCCAAATGGCCACATCCAAGCTGCCTGATGGTGGCCACGTCCATGTGACACAGTTCCAAGGCCACTTGTCACCAGATGGCAGCAAGGAGAGCATCAGCTGGCAGTGTGGCTGAGGACAGCAGTGAGGATGCACAGTGCTCTCTGGTCCACAGCCAGCCTCCACTGAAGCCACTAAATCTGGTGCAGAGTGAGCGGAAGGTGCAGAGAAGGACACTGGAGGAGGCCTGGAGTCCCTTGTCATGGCATGGTGCTTTGCATGACACTTTGCTGTTCTGCTCAGATACTGAGGCGTGGTGGAGCTTGTGGGATTCGGGTCAGAAGGTGGAGACTGGGAACAGCAACTGTGTGAGGGTGGCAGTGGAACCTCAGCAAGCCTTCCCATGGATGCCAAAAAATGCAACGGTGATAGAAAGCCCTTCCTGGGAGCAGAGTGAAGGTGTGAGGTGGCACCAGTGCTCACAGTTCACGACTGGCCGTGAAGAGCATCTCCAGGGCTCAAACCAGACTCCAGGGAGCATGAAAGAGCTTCAAAGTCATCGCAGCAGCCAAACAAGCCTGCGTAGCCCAAGGTCCATCTCCATCAGCAACAGCCTAAGGGGGAGCTCAGAAGAGAAGAGAGAAGGTCTCCAGTGACTGTTCCCTTGGGACAAAATTCTCATTGTGTCTGGCAGTGCAGTCCTGGAGAACTTCAAGAAAATCCTGAGGGTCTGGGTGGGCACTGGCAAACACACAGGGCTGCTGCTCTTGGACTCCAGGCTTCCATTTTGGAGAACTGATGGATCCTCGGGAACGTGCAGGACACAACAGCCCTGGGATCCGGGAGGACTGAAATGAGGATATGGTGAGATTGGAAATGGTGATGGGAAATGCTGGCTGCTCCAGAGCAGCAGGGAGTGGGGGAGCCTGGTGCAGGGCAGGAATGGTGGGCAACTGCTGGGGATCCTCGGGATTCTTGTCCTGGAGAAAAACACATCTGAAGGAAGAAGAAGCAAGACCACTGGCTGTCCTGGCCATCAGCCTCCTTCCTCACTGCAAGAGTGACCCTGAAAGAGCTTCTAAAGATGAAAGCTTCTCCACACATGATGGAGCTGGGCCACAGGGTTCTCGTGTTGGACATGGGGCCAATGTGGATGAGCAGCAACATCTGCAGTGACAGGAACTCCCAAAGCAGACCAGAGCCTGAGCTGGGGAAGACCATTTGGCTCATGCATGTGGCCAACATCATCATGGAGCTGTGACCTCCACTAACCACTCCTGTGGAATCATTTCCTGTGGTGGGTCAAGGCAGAGGACCCAAGGTGCTCAAGCTGCTGATGCATCAATGGGATACGGAAGAGTACAGTGGAGCCTAGACTGTTTTTTCCATGTCCTTCCATGGGGAGTTGAGGGACAGGAATCCATCCTCGAAGTGCAGTGGGTCTTCAGCTCCTATGAACCTGGCACAGCTTGTGCAGAGATCCATGTGCAGGGTGTGACCTCCCTAGGAAGATCTTCCAGGACACAAGTGCTTCCTGCAGGATGCACCTGAACCTTCAGCCCAACCAGCAGACACTGGGACACAGCTATGGCAGGTTCTGCTGGGTACAAGGTGGACACTAGAGAGGCGAGGAGAAGATGTCAGGTGGTGGGGGAACCTCCTGGGATAAAGAGTCCTGGCAGCAGCCACGTATCACAGATTTACAGAATGGTTTGGGTTGGAAGGGACCTTAAAGACCGTGTGGTCCCAACCTCCCTGGTATGCCCTGGAGAGGGTGTGGATAGTGAGGTGCCCACAGGGCAGATGTGCTTCCCAGGCATCGGGGAAGCTGGGGCCTGTGGAGCACTGCGATGCAGAACTGGAGCTGGGTCTCACCTGGCACCTTCTAGGAAGGTCCTGCTTGGCCCCAGCAGTGTCAATGGGGCTTGTGACCAAGTCACAGCTGCTCCACGTGGGAAGTGGGGGATTCCTGTTCTCTCCTGGCTGGCTGCAGGGGGATGGTGGAGGAGAAGGGTGCGGGGGCTCAGGGCTGCTCAGCCTCGGATTTACCAACTCCTTGGATTTTTGTTTCTTTCTTTATATCCTGCTGTACGCGTCTCCTTCTCCAGACGGGAACCTCGTCACGGCCCCAGCCCCGGCTCCGCTGGGCAGCTGCGGGGGCTCAGCCCCGGGGGGAGATGCCCGGCCCGAGGCCGCGGGCGGCGCGCAGGGCGCGGCGGCGGGGGCATCCCCCGGGACCCCCCGCCCCTCCGCCCCCTCGCCGGTGCCGGCGGCGCAGCGAGCCCCGGCGAGGCGGATTTGGGCTGAAATCACGGCTTTCTCTGGATGATCGACAGCTCCGGGAGAAACCATCGGCGGGCCGGGGGGAGCCGCCGCCCGCTCGCCGCCCGCCGCCCCCCGCCCGCCGCCGGCCCCGCCGCGCCCCCCCCGCACGGCCCCCCCTCACGGCCCCCTCAGGCCGCCCCCGCCGGCAGCGCGGCCCGGGCGGGGCGGGGCGGGCGGCGCGGGGCGTCCCCCGCGCGGCGGCGGCGGTGGCTCGGCCCGGCCGCGGCGGCGGGGCCGGCGGAGCGCTCCGTGCCCGCGGCCGTGCCCGCGCCGGCGGCGGCCCCAGCGAGGGGCTCTGGGCTCTGCGCTCTGCGCTCCGCCGCCTCCATGGAGCGCCGGCCGCGCCGCCTCTGATGCCCGGCCCGGCGCGCACCATGGGGCCGCTGTGGCTCTGCTGCCTGCCCCTCGCCCTCCTGCCCCTGCTCGCCGCCGTGGAAGGTAAGGGGGGCGCACGGGGGGCGGGGGCCCTGCGGGTAGGGCGAGCCCCCTCCGGGTTTTCCTCGTTTTTTGGGGGGTGGCACTTTGCCCCCTGCCCCCCTCCCCGCCGCACGCCCTTCGGAGGGGAGGCGAAGTTTGGGGAAGTGCTACCCCGGCTGGAGGTGTCGCCGCCGGAGCCCGGTGTGTCGTGTGTGCCCCCCCCGCGCCCCCAGACCCTCCCGATCGCTGGCCGCCCTTCTCCCCGCCATCCCTCCGCCGGAGTGGGCATCCCTGGGTACCGCGGCGGGTCCCCCGGGGATGCCCGGCATTCGCCGCCCCGTGCCCGCTGCTGCTCTCGGCAGAGTCTTTGGGGTGCCCCTCCGCCAGGCCTTACCGGCGTTCTGGAGCTGGTGGCCGGCTCCCCGTTGGCGCCGTGGCGTTCCCGGCGTCCCCAGGAGGAGCCGAGCTCCCCGCCGAGGTCCCCGGTGCTCAGACAAAGCAGAGTGAGGCGGCAGGTGGGGAGCTCCGGGGCTGGGTGTGCGGGGACGGCGCTGGGTGGGAGCCCCACGGTGGGGTCTGTGCAGGGGGAGACTCGTTCTCCTGTCCCCAGCCATCCCAGCCATTCCTGCCTGCTCCCACCCGCCCGCTGCATGGACACCCTGGCAAGTGCCAGAGAACTGGGTTGGGCAGGGGCGAGGGCCAAGTGTCAGGCCAAAAACCGGCTGGTCCTGGAGCGGCGTGGTCCAGGGATGCCCGTCCATTGTGGAAGGGTCGTGTTGGAGGAGCTGGGTGTCTCCGCTGTCCCTCCGGCTCCGTTGGGCTGGTGGGCAGGCTGGGTGGCCATGCTGGCCCTGTGTGTGCCGGGCGGTGGGAGCCGCTCGGACGGTGTTTGTCTGGAACATGGATGAGGCACCATTTATTAAGTTGGAGTTTTGGGAGATGACTCATGGGTTGGCCAGCTATACATCGTGATATTTACAATATGGGAGCTTGGCATAAATAGGACTATTTACGTTGCAGCGGAGAGCGCTCGCCAGCTCTGCTATTCAAATGAGCCCAGCATGGTTTTAATTATGGGGGGGAGGGTTGGGGTGAGGAGCGTGTTTGTGAGAGCATACGTGTCCATGCAGGACGTCTGGCCCCATCCGCTGGTGGCCTTGACACTTCCAACGGGCTCTGGGCTTGGCCAGCGGGGCCCATGCACACTTGACCATGACAAGCTGATGCTGCCAACTGTGGCATGCCGGGTGCCTTGGGCAGGGATGGGGTGACACCTCCACCCCAGCCTGCTCCTGCTGCTGCCCAGGAGGTGCTGTGGGTCAGGGGCTGGCTCCCGGGGCTCCCGCGCGGGTTTGTGGAACGTGAGTGACTGTCCCACCATCATGGCAGGAGCGGCAGGTGCTGGATGTATGAGTGCCGAGGGATGGGGAGAATACCTAGGGATGAGGGGCTGGCCAGTGCAGGTGGAGTGTTTCACCCGCTCGAGATGATCGCTCTAAGGTGCGCTCCTCCATGAATGGGGACGCTCTCAGGGAGATGGTCGGTGCGCTTCCAGCGGCCATTCCCAGCCGGGGCTGACTGTGTTGGTTTGGCTTTGGCATGGTCCCCCTATGCCCCTGATGTTGCCTCTTGCCCTGTGTGCATCACGGGGCTGTGATGGTCACTCTCAGGGTTGGTGTGGGCAGCCAGATCCCTAATCTAGCCTTCCAGGAAAAGGCTTCTGGAGAACTGGCAAGGTGAAAACATGCGGGATGCAGCTCCTTGGGCGTGCCTCTGCTCCTTCCTTTATGGAACTGCCTCTTCTCACCGCTTCCGAAGTGCCTGGCTGTGGTGTCCACCTGCACCTCTGAATGCTCTGGATGCCTTCGGTGTGCACAGATGGAGCCAACAGTAGCTGCTGGCCATGGAGGTGGTGGCTGGACCCACCATGTTCCTGCGGCTGCAGGGAACCTCCACAGTGGCAATGTCCTCCATCACCAGCCCCAGCATATTCCAAGGCCAAAATGGGGGTGGAAAAGCTTGTTCAGGGGAAAACTACAATTCTGGAGGATCCTACCTCTTGAGTCCTGTTTTCGGCTTTGTCACAGAGCGTTTCGGTACTGCTGGTAATTTCACTTGTCTCCTCTGTGCCTCAGTTTTCCTAATTACAAGGCGTAAAATAATCCAAGCATCTTTCCCAAGGGAGCCGCGAGGTTTTGTTAATGAACATGACAAAGTGCTTTGGGATCCGTGGTTGAAAGCGCAGCCTTAGTCAGTGCGGCTGTGTGTGGGGTGTTTATTTATCTACATGCTTTATATTTCTCTGTGCGCTATATATTCACTTGCATTTAACAAACCTTAATTAGAAACAAAGCCGATAGGGAAGGAAATATAAACAGGAGTGTGCATGGAAATTGGAAGTTGATTGCTCACTGGCCAGCAGAACGCATGGTTCAGGCTCGGGAGGGAAGGCTGTTTGGTTAAAACCGGCTCTGTTAAAAGGAAATGTAAAAAGAACGTGAAACATAAATCAGTATGGAAAACAGGGAGGTGGATGACAACATACATAAAGCAGAGGTTAGGAATTGCCTATAGTTGTGAAGGCGGTTGGAAGGTAACGTGTCTGCAGCTGAGAAAGTTCAGGCTTCTCAAAGGAAAGTTTTTTGTGTGTTTTTCAAAAAAAAAAAAAAAAAAAACAAAACCCAAACCAGAAAGTCAAGAACAAAGGAGTCCTGGAAGGGTCTGGATCCCACCCCAGTTGGTAACGCCGCTATCGCTGACGGCCCCGCTTTGTATTCCTGCTGCGTAGGCTGCGCGCCGATCGCGGGGCTGACGCTCCCGAGGTATTTTGGGGGGAGCCGGGGAGGACACGGAGGTATTTTAAAATCAACAGCCTGGCGAACTCACGTGCGAGGAGGGAAAACCAACCCGATGGTGCTCCTCACCCCAGTGGAGTTAACTTTTCACAAACCTTGTGGTGCTGGCAAGCTTCCCGAGGACTGGAGGAGAGCCAGCCCTGTGCCAAAAATGCAAAAGGAGACACGAGATGGCCCTGCTATCAGTGAGGGTGTGGGCAGCACGGAGCCAGCAGCACGGAGGCAGCGGCAGGCTCCAATGGGCGATGGAGAATTGCCCGGCACGAGTTTTGCTGGGAAACAGATCACGGGTGAGGGGCTCAATTTTGAGCAACAACTGTGCCGAGCAATCCTAGTCCTGAGCCCAGTCTTGGGTTTGGAGAGGGATGCTGGGGCAGGAGGGCTGTATCCACTCCTGGGGTGGGCATTCCCAGGGCATGCTGTGGCTGAGGTGCTGGACATGGACATCCCTGCCCGTCGTCCAAGCAAGCTGGAGACAGGACTTCAGCGCTTCTGCATATTCAATAGTGAATTATAGTATTTGTAACATTTACAGCACTCTCAGACACATGGTGGGACTGTTGGGGGGTCCTATGCAGGATTTGGACTGGATGGTCTTTGTGGGTCCCTTCCAATTTGGGATATTCTCTGATTCTGTAGTATACAGTATATTTAATTTCACTTATGCTGTAACGTATTGCAGTGTTAAAACAGTCTCTGCTCCTGTACCTATGGTGAGCACCTCCACAAGGGGTGCGGGGAGATGCCAGGGACACAGGGCTGCTTTGGGCCTTTGTGTGTCCATCTTTTTGGGTTTCTGTAGAGGAAGACTTGCGCCACCCCTTCAGGGTTACAGAGCATTGCTGTGACCTTGGTGCTCCGTGGAGGTGGATGTCCAGGTGTGCCAGAAGCATGGGAGCTGCAGGAGCCTCCCAGCAAGCCTAGCATGCTCTGGAGAGATGCAGCAGAGCAGCAGGTCCAGGGAGAAACACAGAATCTGTCAAGAGCTGATCCTTCCTGCGAGCTTGAGCTCCAAATCTGCAAACACTCTCCTAAGAGCAGGAGGGGAGCAAATGTTTTGGGACCAGTGGGGCTGAGGAGCAGAGCAGAGCCTGTGGTTTTGGCCTGGCCCTGTGCCATCCGTCTCCCTCCTGCTGCTTTCCCCTCCCCTCCATTTCCTGGGTTAATTTTTGACAAGGCACATTCCTTGCACCCACCTGCCCTTTGCATTATAGGGGCAGCAAAAGGGAAAGCTCCTTTTGGAGACCAAATAAATCAGTGCCTCATTTAAACATCCATGTTGCTGCCCTTACTACTCTGTTCTGTGGCTTTTCCAGGCGGGAGCAGCAGTCCTCTCAATACTTGCTGACTTCCAGCTTCTCTGGGTGACAAAAGCAAAGGGAGGAGATGCTGTAGGGGACAAGGGCTCGGGGTTGTGTGGCCACTGGTGTGCCCCCGCTCCTCTGTCACCTCACAGACGGTGTGAAGGGGACACAGCTGTGCCCTGGGGATGCTGTGAGGGGTTTGGGGCTGTCCCCAGGGATGGGAGCAGCCATCCCCTTGGAGACGGGCTAAGGACCTGCCTGCACTAGTCAGGGCCCTTTGTGTGCACATACCTGAGCTGCTGCAAAGAGGGGTGGGCACTCAGGAAACTGCCCGAGGAGCTGGGTAAATAGTGGGGGCTGTGACAGCTCCTGTGTGCTTTGGGGCGAGGGATGAACGAGAGCCTGACCCTCCACCCCTGCCCCTAAATGTGCCTGCTCCCTGCACACCAGCCCTGCTGGGATAGGAGTGAGGGTGGCTCTGCCTGGGAGTGGGGCTCCATCCTGCCACAATTCCATTTTTACCGAGGAAGAGTCCCGTCAGCTCCCACCCTGGTTTGTAATCCCTCCCATACCTGGGTCTGGTTTATAGAGAGACCAGGGCGAAGCACAGCTGCCAGTTGGATCTCGTTGGGATGAGGGTGCAGGGAGATCCTCAGAGGCAAAAGTTCAGCCGTTAGATAAGGGAAAGGATGGGGCCTCCTGTGATAAGGGGCTGAGTGCAGCATGGGCTGGGCGGAGGGAGGGAGGGCAGGGCGAGTTCTGAGGGCTCTGCCCGCCTTAGCCAGGGATGGGGGAGCTCTGGGAATGCTGAAGGTGGGCAGGGACCCCTTGGAGGCCAGGTGACAGCAGGAGGGAGGCTGTG